GCTGGCAGGCGGCGAAGATCCTAAAAATGGAGATAGAAAACTCAGGGAATTTTACTCACCACCCACGTGAAGCGAATAAGCCGATGAATTCGGAAATCCAGAATACGAAAAACATGTGCAACCACGGCTTCTTTAGCCATACCAAACGCTGAAAGTGAAAACAGTTCCTCCAAGGAACTAAACACATTTGGATGCTAGTCACTTAGGCGAGAAAAAGACTAGCCAAAGTTAACTCAGAGAGCAAATAAACATCCCAGGAAAACAACAGGTACCTCTGTACGGTGAAAAAAACGAAGGCAGCTTACATACACACAGATCAGCTGAGGAAGACGACCGGGAGACCTACGAAGGACCTCAATATGCCCCCAACTATGTTGAAAAATAAGAACATTGGAACAACTTGTGGGCCAAAATCAAGCCAGAATATTCAAGAGAAGGCTTCGAACGAAACTGAAGTACGCTTTTTTGGACGAACACCTCGGGAACACAGAAGGAAGGGTTATCAACAGGAAGATAAAGGAATTGAACACGGATCTGACTTTCGCTAGCCCAATAGCCAATTCATCCGGAGTCAACGAAACAAGTAAACTGGTAGAGAACGCTCAGTCAGTCAAAAGATGTGCGTCAACAACGGGCGCTAGATTCAGTCGCAAGCAAAATATAGTTATAAAAGTAGTACCCGAATCAACGGCAACAATTCCAAAGGAGAGAGTTATGCATGACTGAGACCTTCTTCAAGTGTATCCCAAAGCTTTGTTAAGAGACAATGAGTCACTTAATGTTCTCGAAGCATTCCGAATAGGGAAGGGTCAGTCAGCATCCGGTACCAATTCCCGGTCTCGACCCCTAAAAGTCATTTTGGAGACTGAACCACAGACAAAGCTCATGTTACATAGACAATCATCTCTGTGGTGTCAGTATCGCGAAGTTCTTTTCACAGCCGGATTACGAGCCAAAAGAGCGAATGAAAATGAGAGAGCTGCTGACTGAGCTGGAGAAGTGGAGAAGCAGCGGCGAAACATGCCTACAAATCAAGAACGGACAAATGATTCAGGTCAAAAGGACATTTCTCTGGCCGAAGGCCGTCATTCTGACAGCGTAGCCGATGCAAAGGTGCCAACTCCTGAGGCTGCTCGCACCAGTGGCCGCTGTCTAGAAATTTATTACACTAACTGTCAGAGTCTTGTAAACAATCTAGATGAACTCAGATTACTAGTCTCTGAACAGAACCCACACATAATTGTCTTAACAGGGACATGGTTGACTGAGGAAATAAGTAGTAGCGAAGTCAGCATTGAAGGCTACCAACTGTTCCGTTGTGACATATTTCAGCGTAGAGGAGGAAGTACTGCGATTTATAAGTCAAATTAATCTCCGTGCTGTCAGCTATAAATATCCGATGTGGCACCTCGAAATTTTGTAATAATTTAATTCAGTATAATTCAGTATATATGAGGGATAGAGGCAGAGCCTTTGAAAACCCTATTTACAGATAGACGTATGAAAAAAAACATGCAGATATCTACGTAGCAGTTATGCCAGTCACTCATATCATGTAAATGTTTTACCATCAAGCATAAATGTATCTAGTCTTCTATAGAAATTCTCGAGGTTTTCCGCTAAGACAACGGAGTTCGGCAACTTTTTCCATCCCTCAACCAGCCGGTGTGAGAAGAATTTGGCCCGCAAATCGAGTTTGGCATGTTTCGTCATCAATTTGTATTGGTGCCCTCGGAGATTTGTCTTCCGCGCCAGTTCGAAGAAATCGTCAAACTGAAGAGCACAGTCTAGCCCTCGGCCGATCCTGAAGGCCATGATCATATCCATTTTGTACTGTCTACAAGAGAGGAAGATATGTATCAAACAACTATCGACAATTAACCTGTGTGTTGTCAATCGGCCTCCCAGATCGAATGAAATCACCCATATGGAATTACTTAGTGCACTGGGATTGTTATGTAGGCAGGAGAATTTACTACTTCTGGGTGACTTTAACGCTCCAGGAACAGACTAGGAAATTCCCTTTACAAACGTCCCCTCCACGTCGTTTGACCGCAAGCTACTACAAACCTCCCTGAATGAATACCTCATTCAACACATAAAATTCTGAATAAAACTGAGAGAAGGACAACGACCTAACTGTTTAGAGCCCGTTTTTGTAAAGAAGAAGGAGTCATAAGGGAAGTGAATCCACATCTATCACTCAGTTTAAGCGATCATATTGCTTTTACCTGCGTGTGATTTCTCCTACTGAACCAACAGCCAAAAATTAAGAGGCGCAGAAATATCTGTAGAAGTGACTTTAACGCAATGAGACGTACTCATTTGAAGGAAACATGGTTAGTCCAAATGCATGATTCGGAAAAATTCTGGCAGTAAATTCATAGAATTATGGAATGTCTAGTTAACTCCCACTGTACAATTATAATTAAAAAAAACATGTACGCGACCGCCGTGGGTCAATCAGATGACAAAGAAGATCGTGAAGAAGTAACAAGGCCTGTAGAATAAACATTTGAATATTTGTGATCCAGTAAAATTTGCAGGATATTGGGATCAGCGCAATAAATGCCGCAAGCAAATACGGGTTGCTAGAACTTCTTTCGAGCGCCGACAGATAGCAGAACCCATTACATGTCCCAATAAGTTTTATGGGTATATCCGCAGTAGGAGGAAACATAGGGACGGAATTGCGTGTCTAATGGATAGCATCGGAAACTTATTAGTTGACGGACGACAGAAAGTGCGATTACTGTCTTTGTTTTTTCAATCAGCTCTTACGGACGAATACTCAGAGGACAATGAGCAGCTTAAAATGGATCGAGACAGACGGGAACTTCAAACGACTCAAGATGCTGCCGTCAGTGAATCCGTTGCCCTTTGCATCGAAGAAGTAAGATGCGTACTCAGCCAAATAAACTCTGATATGTCTCCTGGGCCCGACGGAATTCCCGGATTAATACTTAAGGAGATATCAACGGAGCTTTCAAAGCCTCTTTCGACTCTCTTTGAGCTGTCAATGAGAACAGGAAGGCTGCCATCACAGTGGAAGACAGCTAACCTCGTTCCCTTGCATACGGGAGGTAGCAGGATGACAGCAAGCAGCTTCAGGCCTATTAGCTTAACTTGCCCCACATGCAAAACAATGTGAACCCTAGTAAAGTGTGCTATACAGCAATTTTGCGAAGAAAATAACATCTTGCAGGATTTTCAGCATGACTTCCGGAGAGGACGTTCCTGCCTCACAAATCGGCTAGCTTGTCTGGAGATCTGGACCAGGGCTCTAGAAGAGGGTTTTGAGGTCGATGTCGTGTACATCGATTTCCGCAAAGCTTTCGATACTGTTCCGCACCAACGTCTTCTTCACAAATTGAGCGCCATCGGCATCTGGGAAGGTCTTCTGAACTGCATAAGGGCGTTTCTGGTTGGTCGGAAACAATGTGTCTGTATCGCAGATGATATGTCAGAATGGGTGAACCTGACCAGTGGTGTGCCTCAAGGGTCAGTTCTGGGACTCCCCTCTTCATCCTTTATGTGAATAGCATCCTTCTAAAACTCGACTGCCGCAAAATAATGTTTGCCGACGACGTTAAGCTCTGGAAAGTCACAAAGGGACAGAATGATCAGAGATCCCTTCAAGATAATCTGCACCGACTGCAAGCGTGGTCGGAGAAATGGCTTCTAGATTTCAATGTGGAGAAGTCTGTCGTCCTTCATCTGCGTCCAACCAACTCTCATTCAAATGAGAGCCTGAGGACATATCACCTGAAAGATATAAGGCTTCCTGCAGAATCTTCACAGAAGGATCTCGGGGTTTGGATACAGAACAACCTGAAGCCAACACTGCAGTGCAACAAGGCTGCAAAAAACGCCATGGGAGTGCTGCATGCAATAAAAAGGCTTTCGTAAATTTTGACCAAGACCTATTTGGGAGTGTTTACGGCACATTTATTCGGCCCCACTTAGAATATGGCATACAAGCATGGCGGCCATGGCTAGTAAAGGACCAAGCATGCCTCGAACGAGTAAAACGGCGTGCAACAAAACTGGTAAACGGTCTAAAAAGCCAATCCTGCACAGACAGACTGAATTGCCTTAATTTATTCCCTCTGTGTTACAGGCAGCAAAGAGGTGATCTTATCCTCGTCTACAAGATAATACATGGCCTTGAGTATGGACTTAACTTTGAGGACATGTTTCAGTGGCACCTTTCACCCAATCTTCGTGGTCACTCGATGAAGTTACGGACAACAATGTCCAGGCTGAATCTTCATTCTGAATTTTTCACGCAAAGGGTAGTGGAGAAATGGAACGATCTCCCTAAGTCAGTCGTGCAGGCTACGTCTCTGCAACTCTTCAAGAAACGCTTGGATGATTATTTGTGTCCCCTGTTTTCCCTCGACAGTCTGGATCTGAACTAAGACCCCACGTCCACACAAATACTTTCTCTGTGACAATGCTACTCAAATGAATCAAGTACTGTTTTAACAGCGAATTTTTTTGTTCGTGTACAGTTATTTCTAACGAGCTGACATGTAATCAATAGGGTTTTCAAAGGCCTCGCCTATTATCGTTACCAAATAAACCGAATAAACGGAAACTGAACCCGTCCTGACGTTGACGACGTGCGCGACCGAGGACTGTCAGGGCAGTCACCTGGATTGTGTTCCGCAGTTGACGTCATCTGTCCCCCACCGATGCGTTCTGGCCTGTGGCGCAGGCGGTATAAGCGACTGTTTGTTTTTCTACTTGTTAAGCCAGCTCGTTTCTGAAATGGAGACGGTGAGCTGGTAAAAACAACAAAACTGTTTTCCATTTACTTGATTATCGCTTGCCTTTGGGGCTCCTGTATATTTACAGACGGAGCCTTAACTTGGAGTTTACGAAGTGATGTTATGCCTACTCATAGGCACCGTGGGTCACCTTTGTCGCAAACACGTCCCGCCGCTCTCGGCTTCGCACGAAGACATAGTCCAGCAGGTAATACTGGCGCGACAAGGATGCATCCAGTTGGCCTTCACTGGCGTCGGGAGGCGGAGGAGTATGTTTGTCAGGATCAGCCCGTGTTCTGCGTAAGTTCGCAGGAGCTGTAGGCCATTGTCATTTAGGTTGCCCCTGTCATGGTAGCCAAGCATTCATCTGCAGGCAGTGTTCGTCTGTGCCGATGCGGTCGTTGAATTCACCGAGGACAATCAACTTATCCCCTTTTGGCATATTCACCATGAGGGCGTGCTTGACTTCGTAGAATTTGTCCCCTGCAGTGCCGGGGCTGGTCATCGGAGGGAGTGAGCGTAGACTTTGACGGCGATGGCGAAATTTCCTCCCCGGAGAGACAGACGGAGGCTCATTAGGCGAGCGTTGATGCCATGCGGCAAACATGATTTTTGTCCCACTATGTCGTTTCGCCTGACAAAGCTGAGGCCCTCATCCAGTCGCTCTGCCTTGCGGCGACCGCTCCAGAAGAAGGTGTTGCCGGCACCCACCTCCTCCATCTGGCCTTTTTCGGTGAAGTGGGTTTTGCTGAGTGCGTACATATCCACATTATAGCGCGCCAGCTCCCAAACTACTAGCGTCGTCCTGAGTTCCGTTCAGTTGCTGCTCGGGTTGTTTAAGGGAAAACGAAAATTCCAGACTTCCGGATTGGGCGGACGCACCCTACCAGTCTGGTAAACGGGGCAGCGAGATGGTGCGTGGTTTCTTGTTCGATTTTTTAATCATGTGTATTGCGCCTGGAAGCCACGATCAGCGCGCTTTTGCTAGCTCTGTCCTCTTCGCGTGAAATAGCAATGATCCCCCAAAACGGGACGCCTCATATATCCCAGACGTCTACTGAAGTCCGCTATAATTCACGACTTTGTATAGTGGGAGAACGACCTGAGTTTATCTGGGCCGCCTACGCGAGTGCTTCCGCTCTCAAAGTAGAAATTTTTGAAAAGAGGGGAGCAGAGGAATGAACGAAGGGAACAGAAACGAAAGCAGGGTTTCCAGTCTATCTCTTAGCTAACTGGTTACCAAAATACTAAGTATTAAGAGACAAATAAAACGGAATGGTATTCATTAGAACAGCCTTATCTTACAGCAAGTACAAACACAAGTAAACGGACAAACACAAACAAACAAGAACAGAAAATCAATATTCAGATTACTTGGGGAGTCAGTTGTATTGTGGCGGGGCCGCCTATGAGGCTTCATCTTAGAAGTGGCGACGCGATGATTCGTGGGAATTTTGAGCTCGCTGTTACCAAGTAGAGTACAGCAGAAAGCAGAAAGAGTGAAGGGCGGAGGATAACGGTGAAGAACAGGTGCGAAGAAGCGGAAAGGGGTAGATTTCCCCGCAAATGGGTCCGTATCTTGCTGAGTGCTTGTGGCCTCCTGGGGGATTGCAGACGGAGCCTCATCTCAGAGGTGTCGAGGTAGTGATCCATCTGGCAAGCGGTGGTGGATCGGAGCCGAGTTATCGTGTGTGAGGATGCACACACGGATACTCTCAAATGGTTTAGCCCGCCGATGGAGGCGGTAGCCGGGGTATGGCCAATAGTCAGAGCCTAGCATCTGGGAGTCACATGTGAGAGTTTGGTGTCAAATAATGGACTCTAGGCGTAATTTACACCTATAAGCAAGCGAGCAATCTAACTCGACCACCACGTGGATTTACAACTGGACAGCCCATTATTCGGGCCCGTAATAAATAGGGTTTTCAAAGGCATTGCCTATTATCATCACCAAATAAACTGGTCTGGAACAAGTAAATTATATGCACTCACAAAGCATTCGGTGCCTTAAATACGTCCTGGTAGAGACCAAATGAAGCTAAAGCCTGTTCGATATGTCGAATTAGAGGAAATCCACCGATCGTTGGCTCTTAAGTCCTGGAAACAAAATCAAAATATTTGTGGAATTAAAATGTCCACGCAATTTTAGACACAGTACATTATTGCGAAAAACTGACCCTCAGAGTTGACAGGTTAAATGCATGCCGTCTTCCTCATATGCCCCTCGCCCGTAAAATAGGTTAATCACGAATGTTTTAAAGGTATTATTTAGCTAGGCAATTGGAAAATGTTCAGCATCATTCGAGTTTCGGAGTTTAACCAGTAAATGGTTGGCCACCAAAATGCCAAAGGCATTTGTGAAGAGATTTCAAAGTCATTTACTGTCCAGCTGCCAGAGGCAGACGTAGCTGTTGAAGTTTTACATCGTCGTCTCTACGACAACCTTTAAATCATAAAGGCTTTCCGCATTCTAAAAACGTTTCTTTTTTCTGTTCATTCATGATTGTTTTAGCGGCGGCAGTTTGCGCCTGGCTCACAGTTACCGCTAACTTCTTAACGTTTCGCATTTGCTGATGTAATTGATGACTTTATTTCTGTTTATCGACATGAATAGGGTGCTCAAGGGCGAAAGCCTCATTCCCTTAATAAACTGACTTAAACTGACTTAATATTTCTAACGCCCATTCACATTATGCTTGTCGGGTTATTCAATCTTGATACAACTTATGGCATGTTCCATTTAAACGACTGTAGAAAAGGCATATGAAATATTCTGGCAATGACCTTATCTTCCTCCAGCAGGCATATGAGCCAATTCAGTCAGTGGTTATATAAAATTTTAATTGTTTATCACCATCGCGCCTCATCTGAAACCTCGATGGCGCTTGATGTTTTTGTTTTCCTGGGGTTTTCCAAAAGCCCTTTGCATGCATATGCTGAGTTTGCTCGGGGATTTAGTTTTGAGCATTTTCTTTGTGATACGAGTTAGGTCTGATTTTGCGGACGTCTTAAAAGTTGACCGTAATAGTGGAGAATATGGTTTCGATTTTTTTTCTGCAAACAAATCAATGGATTATATCTGGTTCCCACCTTCTTTTTATGATGTTGTCCGCATTTTTCCATCCGCAAATTATGGTGGGTTCGAGAAGTTTGTTCGTCCCACCGAACCCACGACCTGACGAAACTTCTGCCCAAATGCATCTTTCAATCCACAATGGATCTTCCGTTTTGTACAAATCCGTCGCACGGTCACTTTCCCTTCCGACTGTGTCGCATAAAATCCCGAAAATACATCCCTACAGGGTTCGTTTGTATGTTATCCAGGAAGAAGAATTCGACGAGTTATGTTTTCCCCGACGTTTTCCTGATTCCGAATCTCCTTGGTTTGCCCTACTGTCCCTCACAGAATTCTGTTCTTCTGCGGAGTCTGTAAAATCTCTTATCAAAGAAGTATTGAAATTCCAGCGATTGACTTTACAAGGAGTCCTCTTGTACACGGAGTCCTCCAAACTGACTTACACTGTGGCAAGCCTGTTTAACAGATCTGGTGAGTCGCACCACTTTGCGGTCAATTTTCCTACTGGTCAGCGTGCTTCCACTTAACTGGTCTATCGTCTTGCTTGATTTCACATATTTCCTATGTCTAAACCCTCAACCATAAAAGCTACGCACCTTAATCTGTCCGCTTCCTTTATCAACCAAAGGCATTTATGCGGAACTCTTTTGTTGCGGCAGAATTATACCTCTGTCGTGGTCTTCGCCAAGAATTTTCTTGCATATCGATGTGTCGGTCCCCCAAGATTAATTTCTGACATCCGATCCATCGGTCTACACAACAGTAAATTCGTGGTTATATTCCGCCGTCACCGTAGGTCTATCTTATAGAGGGTCGCGATCTGTCACCAAGCCGATTATTTTGCCTAGATGCAGTTCGATAATTCGGCTACAGAGTAATCTGATTGACACTTCTTTCGGGTTTTCTTCGGTGCTTGTTCGAGAAAAATTATAAGACACGTCCCAGTAGTGACTCAAGCAAAGACAGCACTACTACCTTGTTATTGAATATGACTGTTTAATGGATTTGCGGATCGTTTGCACTTAACAGCTCAATTACATATCGTGCGTTATGTTTATGTCGTCTTAGAATGGTTGTTTGCTTTAATTCCATAACATGGTGACTCAATATCTCCAACTAAGGAATCAACTTCGTCCACCGAGTCTCATCCGCTGGGCTGTTTTTGCGGGCGGTTAATTCCTTGTGTCATGTCTGACCATGTAAACTCACGCCTGACCATAAATACATATTCAGTCGTCCGTTGCAAATGTCTAAATAGACGTTCAAATTAAGGACCTTAGGGCCACAGAAAGTTTCAATACCGTGTCCACATTTGGACTTGGAAAAAATGACGTCTTCCCTACAGGGCCTATGCATGTTAGTCTTTCACTGCCTTACGATTCGAGCATGGCACACCCCTCGATCGTTTCGAATTAGTGATAGAAGTACTCAGGGGAGCTTCGCGTAACACGTTAACCATCTGGTTTTATGACATTTTGCTCGAACTAGCTACTAACAAGAAACCTTGCCGCGGTAGCTCAGGACTTTGTGGATGGCGTTGCGAAATTCGCAGCCTATCTTAACTCGGAGACTGTAAGTCCAAACAATTGTTTCGCTGTAGTGGATATTGCAAAAACGTTCCTCCACTAAGGCCGCAATTTTTTTAAAATTCAGTCCAAGGACTGACCTATTGCACTCGTTCTGCCACCGACACGTCATTCATTAAACGCAACGAGCAGCTGGTTGGTGTGACGTATGCATTTTGGGAGCACCCTTTTTACAGATTGACTACATCCTCTGAGTACACGCAGAACAAGTCTTGTTGGATGTCGTTCCAGTATATTCTGTTAGAAGTACTTAGGTTAGTGGTTAGCCACGAAACTGATGGTAGTTCCAGGTGAATTTTTTAAAAGAAAATGCTTGTAGGAAAATGCGTTTTTCTAAGTTATACCGCGCCATATAAGGTGATGCAAACTGGCTTTCTCTAATTCTGCCATCATAGTTTGACACTTGGAAAGCTGCAGTTGGATTTTAAACGTGTTCTCTCTGCCCCTGGTTCTTGGAAGTTGGGAGATAAAACATTATTTCACTAGAATAGAGAGGGCTTTTTGAACCAGATTGCATCAGTAATATTGCGTTATGCAGAATTTCCAGCACTGCTTCTCACATCTTGCTGTAAGGTTTAAAAGGAAGGCTTTTTGCATTCAATGGGCCTGCGTCTTTCCGGTATTGGTACGGATGTTATTTTTGAATATAACATTTGCTGCCCTTGTGTTTACTTCAAAGAAGGATACGGATGCCCAAGGCATCCCGCTCTTGCATATTAGTGGCTTTTGTCAACTTTTGAGATCAACTGTTTCCAGTTAAGGCGGGGCTTTCGAAGTGTATAGGATTTTCTTCCGACATCTGGATAGGAGGGCCCTTTGAAACTTTTTGCGCAGGTGCTCAGGGTACAATTAATTAACGCCATCCTTATTTCATGCTTATTAAGAAATTCCCAAAAGTGGGGAGATTAGCGTTAAACAAAAAGAGCAAAACCAAAGTATTCGGCGCATGTTTCCTTTACCGTTCTCTTGTCTGCCGTTTATTAGCCTTTTTTGGTCACGGTTTCATTTTCTTGCGTCCTTTTTCCTTTTGAAAGCGCGACGGATCTGGCTTTATTTTTGACCGTTGGAAGATTTCACACTAAAGTCAAAACCAATTCCAGAAGTCTTCCCCCGTCACAATCTTCTTATGCGTCACACGACAAAAAAAACTTTAAATTGGAGCTCTCACGGTTCCTTAAGCAGCCTTCCTACTAGAATTATATGCAATAATAAGCAGTGTGCATGCTGAAAACGGGAAACTTCCGTATCTACGTGCTTTTCTATTGACATTTATATAGGCCAGAGCAAATTCAGTGACGGTCAATAGCAAGATCCTGTCCAGACAATTTTGGGACGGTACTTTGACAGCTGAACTGCTTCCAAGTGTTTGACAATTCTAGATTTCATTCCATAATGCTCAAATTCCTATCTGTTTCGGCCCCCGTTGAGTAGACCGTATTATGCGAGCTCTTTTCCAACCTGTCATACCCCTTAATTGCCCTGAGCTTTTAGATATGCAGTGTGCACGTTTTCGTCATCGGTTCACAAGATGCAGCAGAAGTCCCGTATACCCCATGTCATTGTTGCCCACAGGTGGACATATATAATTTGGTTTATACTTTATGATTTTGGACACCGACGATCCAGTAGCTCCAATGATGACCTGTTGCTGTGTGTTTGGTTGGTTTTGTTCAAATAATCCTGCCTGACTGAAATATTTGCGACTCCAGATATCACCACTAGCCACCAAGTTCTTGAAAATTTGTCGAGTCTGTTCACCAGCTGTGATAAAACAAGAACGTAAACATTGCCCATGCGGAAGTTAAGTTGTGTAGAGCCTTTTCCGAAATTATTTTCATGCCATTAAGTTTCCACATGTTTCTTGGAGATGAGCTTTTGGAAAATCGGAAGTTATGAAGATCCATGAGGGATAACCACTTTCTTAAGTAGAACCTGGTTTATAGTTTATTGCTAGTTGTTTGTCCACCTTGAAGTTGTATGTAAGGCCACTGCACAACGACTATTCTGGTCGTTCCGTCCTACCAGAAGTGCGTTCCAACTTATATTTGATGATAAGGGATCATACCTGATGTGGGTTATCGCCTGTTTTCTGTTAATATGTGTTTTAGCCCTTTCCGACGAACCATTTGAAGTGTTCATCGTTCCAAAGGACCTAGCCCCAGACCTTGCTCTGCAATGTGCTGCATCAAATTCGACTTGCTTCCTCTCTCTTGGACTTCCCTTTGCTCCTGACCAAATGTCTGAACTTGGAATGTCCAATAATTTGCAATCATCAAGAATATTTCCTCCCGGCGTCCAGAAAAAGGCAAAGCAATCGGATCAGCACCATGTTGAGTCCTCTCGCTTTGACGAAGTTTCGTCTGGCAATACGAGTATTGCCTCTAGGAATAACGTCCGCCTCTTCGAAATACTAGGCCTTGATAAATCAGCTCTTGCTTCTGGTCACGATCCCGCATCATCTAGTGCGTCCAACTTGTCCGTGCTCACGTCGGGGTCGACTCACCATCCCTCGCAAGTCCTCTCTTCTCCGAGTCCTCGGCTCAGCCTCGTGTCTCCACGCGTTCGTTATGATAACACGTCTGCAGTCCTTCACGCTAAACTCGACAACGCTGGGCCTGGCAGCAGCTCAGAGGATGCCTTGCTGAACCGATCATCAGTCCTTTTTGTTGCCGTCTCCTTCATTTTACTGATGATTATCAGCCTGGGTTGGCTGATATTCTACTACATCCAGCGTTTCCGCTACCTACACAGCAAGGAACGGGCTTCAGTAAGTGCTCACTTGTTTGCCTGTCCGTGTGCTTCGTGGAAACGGAAAAAAGACTGATTTACCGTTGGCCTAATTTCGTCTTAGACTATGCATGCGCGGGTCATAAAGTGCAACTGCCTTCTTATAAACTTCAAAGGCTACCTTGATTAACGTTTCATTGCATATATTGTCTGTATCTTTAATCTTTTATCCAAACCTCGCCCAACTTAAATCAGACTGCGCCGTTGCTTTCGACCTACATAGAAATCATACAGACGCAAGGCACCCTTCGATGGAATGCCCCGTTGTATTGGTTTAGGCTGCGGCCACACAGGGGGGATACGTGTTAGCCAGAGCCGGTGTGACGTTAGCCACAGTGCCCAACCCCACATTCAGTCGGACTTACTATTGGTCTGCGTGATCGGGCCAAACCTTTAGGTTATTGTAATCAGACGGTCTCGAGCCCACGAATGAGGGTACAAACGAAGAATAAGAGTGACGGGGTGCCTTAGAATAGTGATTTAGTCATCTTACAGTTCGTGTATCGGGACTGGAAGGAGGGCAAAGATAGCAGCTAGTGAGATGGAATTTGGTCTGGGAAATAAGTTAACATGACAATTGTACAGAATCTTGCGACAAAAAATGCAACAGTACCTCCTTCTCCTCACAGGTCAATGAACAATGAAAAGTCTTCTTAAGGTCGGCCACCATGGAACGCTCAGTTTCAAAAGTTTAACCATCTAGCGCCATAACCTAATTTCTTGCAGCTGAAACAACTGTTGTCGGGTTCACTAACTTCTCTGTGTTGTAAGGGTTACTGTTCCATGCCTAGGCGGTTTTTCGCCACTCTCGACCAATTACTCTTGTACTGGAAGCTGGGAAATCATTTTCATCTCGAGGACCTTTCTGTTTGGACGCCAGTTCTTGCAGAAGCTCCACCTAAGTTAGATAGTCATGCTAGTGTAGGAGTGTGACAGCCTTTTCCGAGCTCATACTCTTACTTTTTTGCAGAGTCCGGCCCTGGCTCTATTCTGAAAGGCGTGTCGTCCCAATTTGCATGATATGGTTGTGTTGGTTATGGTTCGTATCCATCTTGAGTTTTACACTTCCCCGTAACACTGGACTCAGCTGGCCTTCCACTACTTGTTAAAATTATTTTTTTGCAACTTACAACTATGGGAAATACGTAAAGCATTGCCATTCTGAGGGGGTTCATCCCCTCAACTTTAAGCCGTCGGTTCTAGGGCCCGACAAAAATTCACATTGCCGTCATGCATTCAGTAAGAATTTGTGCGCGCCACTCTCATGTGACCAGGATCTGAGTAGTTTCGCTCCACCCTACGTGCTTTATGACTCCCAAAATAAACTCCTCCAATCCCATCATTGTCGGTTCTTGAGGCCGACGTCAGCGACAGTAGAACGATGGAATCAGTATGAGCTTGTATGTATTTTCACCACACAATCGTAGCACTTTGATCTTCATTCAAATATTTCCTCATCAAATTGCGGATAACGATATTTTATTCGACCTTGTAGTAAAGCCCTCATGGACAGTCTCTTACCAGCCAGTAAAGGGTGATATTCCGCAGAGGAGGGACGAGGGAACTGTTACGGCTCCCTGTGTTGGAGGGTAAGGGGGGGGGGGAAGGATGATTCGATTTGACTTCGGACGGTGAACTTAATGATCGTCGATCCGGCATGCGGGTAGAGGTCAGTGATCCAACGTAGAGGCGTTAGAAATTGCGGTTGCGGTTCGCTGTCTCTGGGGAATGGGGGGGGGGGAGCGGCGAAATAGTCCGATTATGCATGGCCCGGTGTGGATTAGCGACAGTTGTTAGGTCGTGGCCGCAAGTCAGTGACTGTCGCTAATCCACACCGGGCCATGCATAATCGGACTATTTCGCCGCCCCCTTCCCCAGACACAGCGAACCGCAACCGCAATTTCTAACACCTCTACGTTGGATCACTGACCTCTACCCGCACGCCGGATCGACGATCATTAAGTCCACCGTCCGAAGTCAAATCGAATCATCCTTCCCCCCCTACCCTCCAACACAGGGAGCCGTAACAGTTCCCTCGTCCCTCCCCCACCACAGACGCTAGCCTAATTATGTCTCCATCCCCCTCCCTTTCATTCATTAGTGGCTTAGCTATTAGTGGCTGCCCTGTCACGCCAACCAATTTGCTCTGACCATTTCACTTTCTCCTCTGTTTATTTCGTCTGACGACGGGTTGGTGTCACCAGCTCGAAAATTCACGAGTACAACTCAATTTTTCCGACGAGCCTTCTATCTTCAACATATTATCTCGGAATGCACACTGCCTCAACTATTCAATATATATATATATGTATATATATATATATATATATTTGCCTAGTTTACCGTGGTCATCTAGCCATAAACCTAATCTCAACAGCCTCGACTGATTCACTACAGTCGATGTATGCCTACTGGATGAGGCTTTTTCCGGCATACCTGCATCGATGTTGCAGGTTCACGAACACGATCAGCACTCCGTATTTCTCGTCAGCTATCACTTGTTTTGTCAGCCCTCCGTTGATGTCCGTCACCTATGCTATCTCATTCGTATTTCACCCCTTGCCGTATCAACAAGACGTAAAGCCCGCAAGGACTCAGGGCATTTCCCATTCCGCGCATCAGTGGCCACTACAATGGTTAGTACGCGTTTTTCTGCGCAAGCTGCCGAGCTGGATGCTAGAAGAGGAATAGGTAATGTATGTCGTCTACTGCAGATGCGGCCACAGCCACTCCCTCCCCTCGTCAATTCATTGACGTCAGCAGCACGTGTCCCTCGCGCCATCGCCTTCGCTGACAGTCGCTGTCTGCTCCTCAACTGTCTTTGGACCTACGTAAGGGAGGAGGAGGAGGAATGCCGGCTCAGTGAGGACTGCTTTCGTTGTCATCTAAGGAGAAATGATTGCTCTTGCTTGTGGGTTGAAGACGTACATCCCACCCCACCATTACTGGAATCGGGATCCTTCACGACACTAACGGGACGTAATTCGCGTGCTAATCATCCAACTCGCATGCTTTTTACGGTTTACTGAAATTTGTAAGCCATGCCACACTATGCATCCCAAGTTGTACATCATTTGATAGCCAGTCCAAGGGACTGCAAATCTTCTGCCTCACCGAGGTTTGTTTAGCGCAATCCACCTACGACAGAACTATAACGAACAAATAATAACAAGTCTGTGATCAACTTTGCAGACTTGAGAACGCGCACTTCCACTTCTACCGTCTTTCGTCCTACTCATCCTTCACTGACAGCTTTTCCGACATCTCTTCGGAGCTCTTATGGCAGTTCTAATTGGTTCTTTGCTATAATTTTCAGCTAATTCTGAAATTCACACCTTATACAGTTTATTTTAGTCTTTGGGTGCTGTGGTCAGTGGCAGCGCTCTCTAGACCTTTCGAACCCCCACTCAACCTTTTCTGTGGCATTAAAATTCTCCCTCCGTCCCCGGTTGTTTCATCCACCTGCTTTTTTGAGCGATACGCTTACGGACCTCGACCTCCCTTCCATACTGCAACGTACTACACGTGTCTTCTAATTCTGACTAGGAATGTTAGTCGATTTCAAAATCAATTTCTAATCGGACGATTAACACTTTAGCAAATTCTTCACCGAATTTTAATTTTTGACATCAGTACCAGACGATACGCACTGTAACTTTTTCAAGAACGCGCAGTTGGCTGTCAAAACTTCTGTAATGAGAGGACCGAAAAGCGATAACCGCTGAGTACTTCTTTCCTGGGTGACGACCCGTCATCATACTCGAAGTGATTAGTTCAGGGCCAGGATTAGTGCACTTTCAGTTTTATAAAAGATATAGCCACATAAGCGGATTTAGCTCCAGTGCACATTTTTAGACAACACACAAACAAGTCAGGTAATAATTTGGCCCAGAGTCTCTCACCTATCCTCATTTCATTTGCCGCGATTGTGACACTGGCGCACCCATTGTTTTGTACTGCTCGTCGCATTTATTCGAGAAGCTCTGCCGAAAAAGGGACACTGGCGTGGTCATCTTTAGTTTGTGGCGTACTTCAACGCCTTGGACCCCGACCTGGCCAACTTTCAGGCCACCACCGCACTGGTTCTCAAACACAATAACCTGCCGAGAACCCTATTCTCGAAGTAGTTGCCTTTTCGGTGAGGCCACACAAACCACCTGGGGTTATTCGGATAGTGGATTAAGTTGCCGACGAGGACATTGTGAGATTGAGTGGTTGGCATTGTTCCTGACAAGGTAGAAGACCTCCTGAAGACCAACGCTCTACCCGAGAACTGTCTAACATGCCTCAGATGCGATGACGGTCAAATGGAGAAGCTGGTAGCACAAATCAACGAAACGCCAACCGGGTTGCAAAAGGCCCGTGTGATCACAAAGACTGAACGACTGGTCAACACGTGCTGCCATGACGAGATTCTGTGTAGTTCCTAAAGTACACCAGGATGGTGATCTCCTCCTCCTATCTATCATATATTAGCACGGAACGTGCACATTTAGTCTGGCTAAATGGCTGTTTCGACGCCTAAATTTCCTCTCATCGGGCTCTGAAATAGCTACCCGCCCAACCTTGCACCTTTTAGGTCCAGTGTGATACGCCTGGACGCTGGAGGTGGTGATATAGTCTGGTGTAACCGAGCTCTTCTCCCCAATCCCACAGTGCCTGGCTGTTGAAACCGTGTATGGCCTGCTCGTGAACCAATGCGAGACAAACATAACAGTGGCCCCTCATACAGCCGCTCAAACTTTGCCTCAAGAGGTATTTCATCCTTGAAGGTACAGTGTATAAGCAAATCGAAGGTACTACGATGGGATCTCTGCTGTCTGATTTCATCGCCGAAACTATTCGGCGAAGCTGAGAGCACCGGTATTCACAACTCTCTGGCCAACATCTTAGGCTCTGTTTATGGGCAATACCTTCATCGTGTTCGGGCGGAAAATGGTCACAAAATCCAACGCGTTCTTAAATTCTATTTTGTCTAACACCCAATTCGCGACTGAGGCGGGCAGCAGTAGGTAGTTATTTTTTCACAACCGAGCTCGCCAAAAACTGTATGGGAGCCTGAAGAGGACAACCGCTACCCCATGCCAGGCCCTAAGTTACTCTAACGGCCATTTGTTATGTCGTAAACGCAGCTATGTGCGAACATTTTAAGGAAAGCGAGCACTCATTGCAGCTATTCTAGCGTCCTGAGGGGACCGTCACTTCCATCGGGTACCCTTAAAGCATTGTGGGTGCTTCTGACTGCCCGAGCCAACTATAGGGTCAGAAGAAGGACAAATGAAAGTTTTGAGGACATTACCGTACAGGGAGAACGTATCCAAAGCTGCCTGCTCATCTCTTACAACCACTTGGGGTTGGTGTTGCTTGCGGAAAGGAAACAACGGTAAAGCGTCCGGCTATGAGGTCCAGGAGCCCCTTGTCACATTAGCGAGGAAGGGGGCAAGCGAGGGACAAGGAATGGATGCACAGAATTAGGTCATCATATACGGACGATGCAGACGAGACCAGTGGGCGCTGTCGCCCAGATGCCGCCCTCGACAGGGGAGAGGGGATAAATGTTTGTTACCACAGCAACAGCTACTTAGCACAGTTCAACCTGCACAAACAGCCTTCGATTCGGCGGTACATTATCATGAACGAAACTCCTAAAAGATGTGAGGCGCGATCTTAAAGTCGCCGTCGACATTAGAAGCTTGTCTGTGATTTGGAAACGCCAGAAAACAGGAATGTTGGCTCGCAGACTAGTCTTTTCCTTTCGAATATGCCCGCAACGCGCACTTTCGTTTGCCTTATGAGAGCACGATAGCATGTTTTACTGTCCCATTTTTATTATTTGGTCGCTAACCACAAAGCGTTCGGGTGTGTGGCCTCGGTCGAATGCGGATTAAGTCAGTGTAGCGCATGATGCCTGTCCAACGGACCTTCAAGCCTTTGACTTTTGACGTCGGTAGTTTGTTAGGCGTTTTCTCGCCGCTGCAGTCGAATTCTACGAGTGACCTGACAGGCCAGCTAGTCTCTGTCACAGAAGTCTAAGCTAAAAATACCTCATTGTCGGCGGTATGCGGCCTTTTCATCGGAAACTCTCCCCTTCACCCAAGCATGTTTCACTCAGATGTCACCGCTTGAGTAGCCTATATCTTTACTTGTCCTCTCATGCACATCTGATGCCTGTAATTTCTTTTGGGGATTCAATAGAAACTGTTTCCTTTTTGTACTATCTTAAAGATGAGTATCTCATGGTGCAGAATATTGAAATTTCCAATGTTTGCTTCAGAGAATAATACATGCTCTTTAAGATGCATGCTAGTGGTCAGGATCCCTTGAAACTCATCGGAATATTTGGTGAATTTTGAAAACTATCATAATCAGTAACATAAAGAACCTGTAGAAACTCTTTTGAGGATGATGCACCCCAAGTACGTAATCTTTAAAAACACGCAAGGGAACAGGTGGGGATTAAAGGTATTTTGACATTTTTTCAGGCCATCTCCCTCTTTTTACATAACCGTCGTAGAAAAGGCTATTTTCTCTCTAAAATTCCTATACCATTGGAGGTACAAGTAATGGTCGACCTGAGCTATTTAAATAACTGCCTCCCGCTGCGGAGTCTTCGGTCTGTGTTTTTATGTCAAGAGTCAAATGATCACAAAGTTTCTTTTTCCGGACAAATTACTACGTGCAGCATATTTTCAGATTTGATTCTAACTCTTGAGCAAGCTGCTAATGCTGTTTTTTTCATTGGAAATTTGAGTTTCCTATGCAGCAGCAACTCTTTTACCTAGGCGTCATCTAGACCAGTGCACTCAGTTCACGGTTAACTGTTCTCTGCTCGTGAACTCTGCCAACGATCGTGCTCCCAGCCCTGTCGATCATTTTTATTTTACCCCGTTCTCTGCTAGTTATTCATGAAATGAATGTGGATCAAGGTTCGTTTGTTATAACTTTGGCAGTATGAACGCCCTCAACCCAATAGCTTGTCAATCACGTTCTTCTTGTCCCCGCGCTAGATGCGTAGAAGCCGACGTTGTTTGCCGTCTTTGTGTTGAGATTTACTGATCTGTCGTTCTCTGCTTTTTCAGCGACGTTTGGCCGAACTGGCAAGGAAGGCTGTCGCGCGGATACCAGTGAAGTTACTTCGGGCGGGCGACAAGGTAAAAGACTGTCTAGAAAAACTTTCCATGGTAAGGATAGGTTGTGTAGCTGGGGTCAGCAAGAGATAACCCGTGGAACGCGTCGTACAGGAATAGTAGCAATAGAGGTTATACGGGTGGGGCCTTAAGACGTAGGCAAAGATATTCGGTGGATGTGAAATGTAAAAAATCAGATTCGCACTGTGAGCCGTCTAATGTGCTTGGGAAGTAAACGGATTGTCTGTTGCCGACCCCGACCATATAACATATACCTGTCCTTCTCATAATAATGGCACACAAACCTTAGACCGCGCATTTACCCTCTTTTGGTTTCCTGTCATGTTTTCTGTCTTCGATCTGTGAAGTTTAGAACATCCGTACTCTTGTTTAACACTACACACTATCTACAGTACTTGGCCGAAATCGCAGTATGGGATGTCCAGGTTGGGGGGATGGAGGGAGGAGGTATACCTTACTAAATTCCACAGTCGTCCGAGTGCCTTGCATTTATCACCTATTCCACACTGTTCCCATCTATCAGCGGACTTACCCCCTTCTCCACGGAGCTGCCCTCTGCGTGACGGCACTACCGTACCATAATCACTTGGACTGTCAGGCCACACCTGAGGGAGGTAACCAGTGTGTTTTCGGCCCTGATGAATTTCTTGGTGTGCAGTCTGGTTTTCGGGGTAGGGGGAAACAAACCGCCTTGCGCACGCAGAGGTAGGCTGTATGCCAAGTCAGTTGCGGTGCTCACCTGCAGTTATCGGAATCCTATAGATAGGAGGAAATGCAATCTTGTAGATAGTCCAGGCTTGCTCGGGTCATCTTATTAGACCAAAATTGCAGTTCATGGTGGGATTCAGCAGTCATCTAGTGCATCTCAGCAGCCCTATTTAGGAGCATACTGTCCCGGGAAGAAGGGTCCCCTGTTGACCTGGCTGCTGGTTACCCTGCGCGTCCACAGGTGGTTGATAGTGGAACAGCCTTTAGCGTAAGTTAACTGCAATGGTAGCGGAGCACTCACCGATCGTTTTTACGGAAATCACTCATCCCGTTGTGCCTTACGGGCTCTCTCTCGTGCCCAACCAGCAGCCGCAGAGCGGTGCATGATATAAGCAGGATGTCATTACGACAAAGACAAGGGAGACTGCAATGGCCATTTCTGGCGTATTAGCCGTCGTCAGCCAGTCATACCGAACCCCAAGGTGTGGAACACCTGGGGCTCGATCTCGCGACTTGTTAGTTAGAAGTCCAACGCCTCTAACTACCGAGCCACGGGCTCGCTGTCTTGTCAGTTGCAATCGGGGATGTACAATGGTAGAGGGACACTCAGTAATGGCGAAATAAGTGGTCCGTGGGGCCTGGCGAATAAACAGTCGCGGACCAGTAATAGCAATTCTACAGGGCGTGGATGGTTTTGGCCTGGCATGCGATTTTTTGTAAAGTCTTGCAAAGCCCGGTGACGCGCTGTGACATGGTGACCATGAACCGTCATTACATAAGTTTGCTTGCTACCGCTGACTTGCAATTAGGTTTTCCAGCGAAAGCCCCAGAAGGGACTACCTCGAACAAACAATCCGATCGGCTGTTGGGGAACCGGATATAATCGGAGCTCATGAAACCTATCTGACCCAAGTAGTACGACCCACTCCGCGGCGTTCGCAAGAACCAATGCGCCCCGCAGCTCCGGCCCAGTGGTGCAGGTGCATAGCATGCGCGCAAAAGGGACTCCTGGTATTGGATGCTGGAATGTGCGCACGTTCCTGGACCCTGGTACCCAAAGTCAGACTGTACAGTCTTCATAAGTAAAATGTAGATATCTGTTTACTGTTCGAAGTCCAAATCCCTGACTCAGGCACTCAATTCCTACTTCATCCCATATCACGGCGGCCCACGTAACTTCTGTGGTGATCGCTATCGCAACATATGAACCATATGCTACTTGCGTAGGAGCCAGTCAATGACAGACTGACTCTTATACGGCTGAAAAGTGACTACAGACAACTCTGTCGTTTCCGTGTACACACCAACATCGACTGTGAACCAGCGCGATAAAGAAACCTACTCGCATCTGCAAGAGTTAGTTGAAAGACTCACCTCGACGTGATCTGCTGAGTTTTGCCGGGGACTGGAATGATCTGACTGGGGCAGATAATTCTTCAAAAAGTTATTTTATTATCGTTTTGGGCGTGGTTCTCGATGCGGCAATTATGAGAGCCTGTTAAACTTTGCCGACCAGAACCGACTGTTTGTCATTAACACGGAGTTCCAGTCTTACCACAAATGCCTGCTGACCATGTATTCAATTGGTGGCCATACGGCCGGTCAGATCGACTACGTTCTATTTGGTCCAGGGATACGCAGCTGAGTTTACGATAACAGATCGATGCGTGCTACGCAAACTGGTAACGCTAATGGGTCGTCATTATTCTCGTTCGCATGCACCTGAACGTCCGCACCCAAAATATCTACAAGATGCCATGGTGTCCTAAGATTACGACAAACCTACATAGGCGAGGTCCTTAGCACAAAAATCCGATCATACCCGTAACCCAAGTCGAATCAGATGGTAGTATCGAATGGTCATGATCGAACCCCTCAAGCAGGAAGTAGCTGATAAGATCCTTGGATTTAACCAATAGCATCAATGGAAGAACCTTGCGGTTGTCTGCCTATACGGCTTGAGCCAGGTCCTGCAGCGATAATTCCTCCCGTTAGCAACAAAAAATGATGGCAAAGTCAACACATGATGATCTCCAAAAATATTGGGCTGGAACAGAGACGTCCATGGAGCAGGCTTCATACACTGATGACCATCGAAAACTCTACTAAATTATCCGTCGTGTTAGTAGTAAGCCCTCTGCACTGAGTGACCGTTCGCTATGTGAATTACGATTTTATTGCTGATAGCCCGGCCAAGGTCGAGCGCCTGCGTAAACTCTTCGAACCAACTCATAATACCCCTGCACCCCTCTACAGCAGAGTTTCATCCCCCTCCAGCCCATGCAGTATCGTGTGACTTTTCCCCCTTTTGGAGGCTGAACCGAAGTAGGGCATCAAAAGAGGTCGACATTCTCGCTGAAATCTACAAGCCTTGCATCGACACTAGAATTCTTCAATTCTACAATGGCTGCTAACAACCGACGGCCGTCTGTTTTGCTGACTGTTTTGTCCCTGTGGCGGATAATTGAATTAGACGGTTTGTCGGCAGAAATCGCCCCCATGATCGAGATCTACCACTGCCCGTGAAAATCCTTCCCAACCGTCGGGTGTTATTCTATCTAGCGTTCGACAAGATTGCATTTTTGCTCATTTTGCTCAGCGACGCCATTGACTAGATTCTCGGAAGGACCCTACAAGGTTTTAACCGTGTTGATTTTGCACCGGGACGCCGGCGGACTGATCTGAACTACGTGGATGATATCGTTTTGCTAGCCTCAAACTTTGGTGATCTACCGTCCGTGGTGTCACGACTGAATGATGTCGCTAAATCAGTCGGCTTATTTATAGACGGCGGAAAGACCAACATGCTGATCAGATTGATGAAATAACGTGGGGCTTTGCTATCCAACATGCCTGTTTTATGGTCTTTGCTTACTCGAGCACTAGTGCGCTTTTTGTCTCCCATATTCGCCTGCTATGTTTAGCGAAATTCGATGCTCTAGCTCATACTACCTGCTCCATCAGCGGGTGCTCTTAATGTACAACGGGCTGTTGCCGTTCCTTTCCTGAGCTGCCCGTCAGTTTTTTTACAGGCTGGCCACATAAGCAGTCCTTATTATTGCACCAAGCACAGGGGTATTTCTTCTTCTGTCCTATTCTTCTGAGCGAGTATGAGCTCATTTTAGCCGATCGAACACATATCGGGCCAACTGTTTATGACTTTTACCCGCGGCACTCATCCGGAGACTGTTGGGCCTGCGCCTCCACTAACTCCAATATTTCTGCTGTTGTCAACAAGCAGGATAAGTACGTTTCCCAGGGCGGAAGTATGAACTAGAAACTGGATAACTCAATTGTCTTATGACCATACGTCGCACGATATACCTTTCTTGACAGCACAGGCGCCGACCAAAGCCCAGACACAATGGTCTGCCGCTGCATGACACAGCTGCGGGGGGTTTAGGCTCATCAGTGGGTCCCCAGAGTTCCCTATGGGCTTTCTGGTAGATACCTCAGTTTTTAAACTGCAGCTTTTTAATTTCCTCGGAAATTAATCGCTAACTCGGAGTAAATCAGTCCATTTGGGACCTATGACCGGCCTCGGTGAGCTGCACCATTTTTTGTCGCCATGACTGTTTTGGGACAGCACGGACACCGGGTTCGGGGTCGGAAATTAGGCGGCCGTGGTTGTGCACTGCCCGCGTTCGTCTATTAATCTTGCCAGCCTATGCACTCAGCACCCTACCAGCCCCTCTCTTTTGTAACATTCTGTCAAGCCCTTTTCATGTTTAAAGGGTCATTTTGTAATCTCTCTCGCTCTCATCTCGTCTGTTTTTGACCTCCAGGAAATAGGCTCCAACGGCGAACACTGTGCAATCTGCATCGAACCCTACCGCCCATTTGACAATATTCGCATTCTCCCATGTCGGTAGGTTCACATATGCTACTGTCTGCTGTTTGGCAGTTAAAAAGTTCCGCGCGCCTGTGTGTTCGCCTCACGGTACAGTGGTGAATCTCGTCTCTCGCGACGACTAAACTATCGTGGGCATGTTTTGTGTAAATTTTCGCCAGTCTGACGCATGTGCGCTTTTTTTTATCTGACGGATTTACTGTGTCCTTATGTCACACACCAGCGACAGACATGTAAACTGTATGAACTGGTCTGCCTGTTTGACGTTTTTTCATGCGTCCCCCTTGCAGTCTGCGCTCTCTTTATCTCGTTTCCTGTCGTCCTTCCATACTGTTTGCCTCCGCAGCATGCGTCTACACACTTGAAACCCATAGAATGCCCATTCTGGTAGACGTTATGCCCCGTAATGCCAGCCGGTCGCACTGTTTGCTTAAAATCCCCCGAAAGGAACACCACCTAAAAGCGATACCTCGAACACGTACCCGAGGCCGACCGAGAACGACCAGACAGACTAATCGAACACACCGAGACCTTCCTCGGCCAACCCAACGTCAGTCTTCAACGCTTCCACTTGATCGCACTGCAACCAAGCGGGTGGTTTTTTGTTCACAGCATCCATACTGCCAGATGAGGGAGCCAATTTGCTCTTCAATACTAATAATATCTACGTGTGCTCATACTCGTGCGAGGATGAGTATTTTTTGTCAGGGCTTCTTGAGAAGCGTGACTAACACGATATACGAGCACGACACACGGGGAAGGCTGGGGACCCACTGTTGAGCCGAACCCCTCGCAGCTGCGTCAGGCAGCGACATAAGGTCGGCAAAATACACGTGTGTGGGCTTTTCGCTGATGCCTGTGTTGTCAGTACGGTAAATAATTACACAATTGTATACTGCTGGCTGTCTGTTGACCGTTTGTGAATATTATGCAGTTATTCCGCAGTGGCTGATGGATTTCAGCTCAAATATTCATGTGAAATTTCGGACCGCGCCTGAAAGGGTCTGTTCCGAAGGATTTACTCCAAGTTCGCGCATTAATTTCCTCGGAAATTAAACAAGGTATTTTGGCTTAAGCACTCCTTATAACAACAGTACTAAGGGCAACTGTGGCATATTTCAGCGGATAGCTTCACTCACTCTCCACGACCTTTTGCACTTTTTCGCAACCTAATGGTTATCTGGATATCCTATCCCCATTCAGCCAACTCCAACATGTGTGATGCAGCCCAAGAGGACTGTTGTGAAATTGTGCCGCTCGGACACAGTACCAATGCAATATTCTTCCCTCAGTTGGTTTTAGCTGCAGATCTTCATTAACTGTTCTGCAACCCATTTCCCGGTTATTACTCAGTCGTCTATCGTTAATCTTATTTCCATAAGGTCTAGATCTTCGGGCTAATCCCGTTAAACTTACTTGCAGCTGTTATTGTTCGGCGGAAAGTTGCTCACCAACTGGAGTGCACGGGCCATAGCCTGATTGGTTGCCTCGACGGTTTGGTGGAAACAGTTGGTGAAGTGGAAAATAACCATCTGAACATACTCATCCAGCACAACACTTGGAGGTTCCAGGATTGTGCTGAACAACTGCGAGTAAAGAATTATTGGATGGCAATCAACAGTCGCCGTATAATAACTATGTAGTTTGTGGTCCTTTTTTGTGGGTAACCCATTTGCGAAATCGGTGTAGGACCCTGCCTGAGGGTATTAACTTGAGCCGATTTGGTCTGATCACAAAAGGCAGCACATCCTCTCTCTCACGCAGGTGTGACGGGCTGAGGCTGGCAAATGTCTGTCTTGGTCAGGTCCCTTTTCAAGATCATTGCGTCACTTCTCAGTATTAATCGATTGGAACTCCTTTTCTGTTTGACGTTGACTTCCCTTCTCCTGCCTTCATCGCACGTACTTAACTGAAGTGTTCTCGTTCCCCTTTAGTGTCAAAAAAGCAGTGCTTGTGCATGAGAATATGAACCCCTGTATTGCAGGTGACCTTGCCCTAGACTCCAAGGGGATTAGAGCTAGGGTCATAGTTAGGGACGCTGGGATTAGGGTTATATCGACGGTTAGGTTTATGAAGGTTAAAGCCAAGGCATGGGAATATAGACCTCCCTGACACTTCGCGTGAGGCCACCTGTAGTGCGGGGGGAGTCCGTATTCCCGTGTCGGATCAAAACAGCAACCATTCGGAGGTTGAAGTGTCCCTTTTTATCCCTCCTATCTGCTAGACACTACTTCCACAAAGTCTGTATCGACCCGTGGCTGCTGGAGCAGCGCAGTTGTCCAATGTGCAAGCTAGACATTCTGCAAGCCTATGGCCTGCGGCCCTACTTGGCCTTCTCTGTTGGCGAGGATTCTAGCCTCTCACATGGCGGTGGAGGCTTCCACACCGATGAGTCGGGCCCCACTGTGGAGGAGGCCACAACAACTGCCGCCCTTACCACAGAATCGCCCTCGGTTAGCTATCTTTCCCAGCCGCAACAATCTTCTTGCGCGCCTGACAGCGCAACTATCACCGATACGTGTGCTGGTGACAGCCTACGCGGCAAGTACGCTGCCGTGAACGACCGGAAAACAAGAGCGTCTGCGACCGCCAACAGCGGCGGCTACCAGACCTGCTCGGAGGCCGGGATTCTCGGTGTAGAGTCTCCTACCCGCGCCTTAGGCAGCCAGTCAATGGATGCTGAGGGCACCGTCGTCGCTGCCAACGTGGCCGTTACACGGAGCCTGTCAGGACAGTCATCGAGCCCTCTTCTGACCAGTCCTGCGCCGCTCTGTGCCACCGACTATTCCCCGCCTTTTTCCACCTGCCTTTGTGCACACACCCATTCACCGACGATAGGAGGTTCAAGCCCCGCTGAGCAATGCCAACGGCAGCATCGACTGAGCTTCCAGCAGAAAATGCGTGCTCAAAGTTCAGATTCCAGCATAACTCAAAGCAATTCCTCCAGTCAGGTCGTCTCCCAACAGCAGCATAAGCACTTACTACCACATTTACAACCCTCCGATACACAAACTGTAAGCTCAGTCTCTGTGTTTTTTCCCACGTTTAACGAAACGTTTGTTGGCAGGCAGAGGCAAAGTTGTAATTCACAAATGTTACGTGCACAGCGTAAAATGTTTAAGAAATAATTCAGTACCTACATGGTCATCCTGTAGTGTATTCATAATCGCATAACGGCGCCTGAAAATAGGCAAAGGTATCGACAGTAGTTCCAAAATGAAAAAGCAACGAGTATCTGTCAGAAAAATGCAGAAATGAGCAATTTTTCTCGAGAAGATAAAGGATGTGGACGTTCATCATCGGAATACCCTACTAAGACACGTCTCAAAGAGTTAACTTGGCAACGGTAGCTTGTGTAACCCCACCTCTCAACTAACTTTAACTCTCTTATTATTATTTATGAGAAGAACTATGCACAAGTACTTTTGAAGAAATAAATAAGTTAGGCGTACGCGTTCGACAACAGAGACCGCTAAGAGATGTCGAGGAAGCAAAGCGTTTATGTTCTAACCGAAGCCAAGTAGACCATAACGCAGCCGGCTATCCTTGCAGCGCGCATAGTATGGTGGCGTACTGACATGGCACAAAAAGGTTTAACTACTCTTCTGGAAGAAATAGCGACGAATACGGAGCGGGAAGGTTGTTGTGCTTATTGATTGACTGAGGGCCGGAAAATAATGACTCGAACAGTTAGCGGTTCACGAGATTGTCGCCTCCAGCAAGAATTTCTGCTTGGAATTCGAGTTTAACACAGACTGGAGGCAACCATAAGGCGCCAGATCATGAGACTGTATGACCTACTGTTACGGCAGGAAGCATCTGGAATCTTATCGCATCTGGTGCAGTTGTGGACAAAACAGCTATGTCGGAGAAACCAGGCGACAACTCCGGACGCGATTGGCCGAGCACGCGTCAGCAGTAAGGAGGAACGACGCGAACTCCCAAACCGCGAGGCATTCGATGGGACCAAACCACACATTTAAGCTTGACGAAGCAGAAATTCTTGCTAGAGGCGACAATCGCGTGAGTCGCGAACTGCTAGAGTCATTATTTTCCGACCCTCAGTCAATCAACAAGCACAACAACCTTCCCGCTCTGTATTCGTCGCTGGGACTTAGCCTAGGCAAAGTATTCAGCCGCGAGGAGAGCGCGCGGATAACCACTGGCTCCGGTATCAATGTCGGCGAGCCAAATCACCCAAGAGTCCACACGAATGACAAAATCCGGTAGTGAGCCCCTCGGCGGCGTGCGAGCCAATAATCTTGACTGGCATGCAGGCGCATAACAACGGCATACTTCAACACCTGGCCAGTGGAGCTGTGATGCACTCGGCAACTGCCAACTGTGATAGGCATGTAGTGACCTAGCAAATACTTCCTGCAAATACTGCGACACCTGAGCAATCCACTACCCTTATCTGATTCTGTCTCTGATGACGAATTCGAGTGGGGATCCGAAACTTCAAGCGAATAAAGTACTTGTTCCAGCGATCGGGTATCCTCCGCGACTACTTGCTGGAGCTCGCCTCTTCGCCCCCTATTAAAACGATTGCCCAGACTAAAATTATGTGACGCCCAAAAATGATCTTCACTGCAGGTCAGTTGCGCGTCTCCGGACGGTACACGGAACTTGCAAACGATTTCTGCCGCTAGGCACAAATACGTTCGTCTTTCATTGTCATATTAAACGACCTAACCAGATTAACGGAACGCTCCCTCAGTGTGCACATGTGCCGAATTCGAAGGGTTGCAATTGATAAATTATTTTAATTTTACTTCGCCTTATCCGTTATCTTCTAGGAGAGAGGTAGAGAGGTATGTGGGCCGAGTGGCGCGGTAGGGACATAGGCGGTCGGATGTAATACATGCGTTTGCGAAAAGAGACTTCGACATGAAGCAAGCAAGAATGAGAAATTGGAGGACGAATTTATTTTAAGGTACCCGAAAGAATGTGAAAGGGTTCAAGAATGGGAGATGGTCGCATTCGAAGGATACATCGAGCGAATTTTAGACTGTAGAGTAGAAAACCGTTTTCTGACGACTATACTGTGGCATCACCCAAGCCTTCCTTAGCGATTTGCAGGCCAGCCTCATTTCTGGCCGGGCAGTTATCGACCACATCACCAGCATACTTGATATATAGGCAGCCATCGGGCGATCTCAGATCGTCGATGTAAGGCAAAAGAGAGGAGGGAGATTGGTTCTTGAAGCACTCCACAGTTATCAGGAAGATAAGTAGATGCTCGATTGTCAGGCTGAAACATCTGAGTTTGGAAGGGAAGGTAATCTGCAAACCTTGAGACAACCCAGCCAGGAGAGCCTCACTCGAGTCTTTTTCGTAAGATGTCATAAAACAGTACGAAGGGCACAGGACTAATCAAGGAAACAAGCTTTTGCTCATCCCATCAACCCAGCCAGCTTTGATTGGTTTCTCTGTTGACTTTTAGCTCACTAGCCCCTCGAACCCATCTAAGGGCGATCTGGCCTTTGTGGGCAGTCATCTGCACCACCATCGGCCCAATGCTCTGACCTGCACGGACGCCCACACCAGGACACCCCCTTCTCATAACTCAGCCTCAGGTGCATGTGGCAGTAGCTGGGACGTAGGTACCAGTACCTCCAACCATGAGGAGAACGAATGCCACGGTGATGTGAACTGTGATAGCAGTGGCAGCTGCCGACGACAACAGAAGGCTCGCAAGAGAGGCTCTGAGGGTCCATTCGTCGGCTGGTTTAGTCGTGGTTTTTATTTAAACAAACCGTCAGTCCGACACCATGACAAAGGTGATAGGAACGTTGCGCTACCTGAAACGTTTTCCTCGCGATTCCGACACCGAAGACCCCCTAAGGACAGTAGTGACGCTGGCGGCGGCGGCGGCGCTGATTGCCCAGTTTCTGTGAAGCTTATGCCCCATTCACCGTCTGCCTCCGGCCTCGATCCCTCCGTCATTGAATCCCCTGATGATGAGGCTACCCTCGTCGGATGCAGGCTGCTACCGCAACAGCCACAACAAACTTATGATGAATCATGCTCGGTTGCACCCTCCCAGCTGACCCCTGGCGCATGCAAAGAACAATTGGTTGTAGCGGTGGTTGAAGTTCCCTCTAGCTCCGCCGCACACAGTTCCAGTGGCAGGGATCCGGCCACAGGAGACTCGGCCCTAATGACCTAGCAACTCTTTCACTTATCTCGCTACCTATTTCCCACTTGTGTCTTGCTCCTATTGGACCTATCTTTTGTATATGTCCTTGTCGCCCGTTCTCTCCCCTTCCCCCCCCCAATGACCATCAGCGCGTCGTCCTCTCGGCTTTGTCTACTCGACGTCCTCGCTAATGGCAATCTTAATTGCACTCATCAATCTACTCATGACTAAGTGCGCGGTGAGACCGCGAACCCAGTCGAAAGCTGTGTTTCTTTCTCTTTAACAGTAACTCTTTTTATCCGTACTCCTGTTTTCTTGACGCCTATATTTATTGTCGAGATTACTTTGCCCCCCCCCCCCTATCCCTCGTGATCAATCCGCCATCCCCAACCTCATACTGCCCTTCCGATGGTTTGTTCAGCCGTCTCAGCTCACTTCAACTTTTGTTTACACGTGCACGCCCTGTAATCCGTCACCCATGTCACGGCCCTATATTCATCTTCGGACAGTTTACTTAGTATCCAGGGGGTGGGGGTGGCGGTTTTGCTCCTACTGTCTTCTCACATGGTGCTGTTTCGTTCATCATTCTGCTCTTATGCTGCTTCGGCGCCACTTGCACTCTTTCTGTCAAGAGCTGGCGTCTCCTTCCCTCCCTCGCCCTCCCACTCTGCTGTCTGCATTTACGCGCCTCCCCTCCGACCTCCCCTTAAACCACAGTGCAGTTTCTCTTTTGACGTAACTTATGTAATATGTAATGTATTGAATGCCGGTAGATATGCGAGACTCGGTTAACTAAACAGTGGGCGCCGAAACTTATGAAGCTGGTCAGTATTCACGAAAAACTATAGAATTCGAAAATTGTTGCTTATGGCGACGAATGTTCGAATTTCAGGGATAAGGAGACTCCCCGATCGCCGGAACCATTTCTTTGTCCGAGCTCTCGAACTCGTACGGGATTCCATCTTCAGAGGTAAGAGCGGCAACGGAACGAGCAGCAATTATTGGTTGTATGGGCCAGTCAATGATCAGTGACGCAGGTCCTGAGGTGACTGCGCAAGGCCCTGTATGTCGGCGCCAGGTCGATCATGCATACACGAACGTAGACCAGCTGTGTGGCAGGGTGATGGATTATCAAGAGTGGCTGTCCACGCACTCTAAACAGTCACGAGTTTGACCTTGCGGCCATTAGAATAATCGCCACCGCCAGAGACAAGACACGCCGAAGATAGGCTTCGGGTTAGACCTCAGTCAATTGATGTACCCATCTGGCGCCGGCATACACAGCCCTGCGCAGTCGCCTCCAGACCTGCATCACTGACCAGTGGTTGGCTCACACCTATAGCTTTTGCCCGTTCCGTTACCGCCTTTATCCCTGGTGATAGATTTCAGTACGAATTCGAAAGCGCAGATAAATTAAATGATTCCGACGACCGAACAGACTTCTTCTTCTTTCTTCATCTTCTTCCGTCTTTCCACCTATCCTCTATGTATCGCCCAAACTTAGCAATTAGTTACTGACATACCCTCGTCAAGAATAGAAAAGGAGACTATGTGCGCACTTTTACGAAGTGGTTTATCAATGGTCCTATTGACATGAATAGAGGACTCAGGGAGGACGTACATAACGAACGGCCTAATGGTCTTAGATTATAACTCCGAGGAGGGTTCAAAAATGTATGTACGTTGATAGTTATCGAAAAAGACGAAAAATGGATATAATTCAAGCCCTTCCGAGTGGACACCAAGTCTACGTACTATACCTGCAGTGGCCATATAACCCAGCTTCCTTCCACTGGGAATCCATTTTTCCATGTATTTTGCCCTACACGGGTGAAAGTATCGACAGGAAGACTCAGCCCGTTGCAAGATGGCAAGCGGAAAGGCTGATTAGTCCTAAGCTCGTCATTTTTAAACAGCGGACGCGACCAAGGGTGTCACGATCCAAGACAGTAAGTCCTCAAATCGAAAGTCAGCGGGAAGCGCCTGCTGTGTGACAGCGCACAGGTACGCCGTCCGTCACGAGCAAAGGGGACCGCCACTACGTGCTGAGGATGCGGTGGCGCATTACTCGTGAATTATTGCGTATCGTCTGCTAGTGCGAGCAAAACTAAAGCCTACGTGGTTGTACGTGAGTACGCTGGCTTGATTCACTTCCATCCTTAGAAGCCGAGCGCTTGTCCCTGCGCGCATATGAACCATGCCGTAAATACCTTCAGGCATCGGATCTCTCGGAGGCAGTCGCCACGACGACATCATTGCTGCAAGACTCAAATTCCGTAGAAGAGCTGAGTTATGCGTCATCTGGCAGTCACTGGGCTACGGCCACTATCGCGTCGTAATACCGCCGGGGTTGTAGCACGGAAACTAGGAGTCATGTGTCCAGGCCGACCGTGGGTGGGGTCGAGCTGCATGGTGTAGGGCTTCCGTCTAATGTCAGTTAAGGGCATGTATGGGCCCGGTCCGGACGCAATCTCCTCTGTAGGACCGAGGATGCGTGACCGGCTGGCAGCAGGCGCGCGCAAGTCGGCGTAGCGTCAGCCGTGCGCGTCACAGTGTGCTATTCGATTATTTCGAATGAAACAAGGGACAGAGGCGACGTCCGTGAGCAGGAACACCCGCGGCACCGCAAGATTGCACTATTACAGAAGCATACTCTTTCGATCCATGGGCAGAGGTGTTGTCCTGTAAAATCGCGCCCCACTGTCAGCCACCAAGTCCGAAGTGTTGACGCACACTGATTTTGATGGTGTCCTTCAACGGTCGTCGGGCGAGGCACCGTATTTGATGGTCATCCAAATGATAAAACTGTATGGACTTCGTACGTTCATCCTCGTTTCGGTACGCCGCTCCTATTTAAGTGTCGCCAGCGTTCGTCCACATCCTCTATAGTGATCCAAACGCTGGACGCTTGCCGACGCGCGTCCGGGACCTGACTAGAGTGAAGGACACCTACCGTCCCGATCATACGAAATCACATGCGTCCGGTAATGCACTCCACTCACACCTTTACAAAGGGCCTTTGGCCTAGCTACCACGCAAATACCTACCCGATATTTCGTGCGTCGATGCTGGTGATCACCAACTTCACCACAGGCTATTGCTTAAGTGCCCTATTGCACTTGAGCAGTCCTGTATTCAGATAGGCCGATGTGACGCAGGACCAGGGGGCCGGATTAAGCAGCTTAAATACTGCTGGAAAGAGCTCCTTTCAGCAGTTCTTTATTTGTCCTATAATGGGTGTCCAGATGTTCGAAGGGGCCACTGTGTGACAGGAAGCACAATTATAATGTGGACAGATTAAAACTTTCCCCGTTTTGTTGGTTGTCGGTTCTTGTCTTCTAGCGGTACCGGAGTTGCGATGGCTGGTGTGTCCGGTGAGGGCAATTAAAAAGTGCCATCACAGAGAATGTATGGAAGTGAGCTTCTCGGTGCCGCTGGTAACCTGCAGAACACCGGATGGGTTGGGAGCGATTTCATTGCGATAGGTGCGCAAGCGTCCAACAAGACCAGTCTGAGTCTTGAACGTGCGTTAACAGCGCGGATATGTTGGCAGTTGCTGGGCCTTGGGAAGGTTAATACTCAGAAGTCCAGTTCCGTGTGCGGGCCGCCTGGCATTTCAATCCTATATGAAAGGTCATAAAAGCCGTTATTCAGGGTTTGACTGCAGATTGTCCTGCCTGCCGATCTAATGCAACGGTTTTCCACTGATCTCAATTTACTTCTCGCTCTTTGACGAATTTACCAAAGCGTCCTCATAACGTCGTGTTTGGTCTTGACGGCGAGCACCGGGGGTAATGCCATTATAGGTCACCGCGGCAACCCAGCCGAAACCGAGCTCCCTTCATCATTGAAAATAAGTAAATGTCAGTCGGTTGCAGGATCAGGATGTCTAGAATCCGTTCGTGTCAATCGCCCTTAAGTACTCTCCGGAGACAGTCTAACTGAAAGTAGATTGTTTACTGCTTAGTTTTAGCAGACCGATCGGGCCTTCGCAGCATAAAAAGGAATTCTCAAGACCATAACCTTGCACATATTGTATTAAGGAGAATGCACGGCCATTCCGTGAAAAGGATTAAATTTCAGTTGGTTGGCTTTGAAGACCCGAACTAGCGTTTAGTTATCCTTTTTGGGGCTTTCTGAGAGAGTACTTCAAAATAGGAGACTTGATCTCTTGTTGTGAGGCGATTTTCATCGACGATGGTCGAATATCCTGCATATTCTGCGGTTTATGTCTGTTTATATGTGACCGATGTTTTTTTTCATCATCAAAATTTGGCTCACCCCAAGATGAAGAAGCATAGACTTCGCTGTAAATCCACTTCGGATGTGATGTTAGGTATACACTTGTCGGTGAAAAGAAAGTGATTTATCCCGACCACAAAGATGGTCGTGACGACAGGATTTTGGCCCATATTGCGTGCTTTTCGTTCAGTTGGGGAGTGCCGGCTCTCGGTTTTTCCCATGATAGACATATGTTTACACCACGCAGGCCATAAGACGAAAAAGTGTCTGGATAAGTACGCACCTCTGCTTTATGTGCCTGCCATGACGAATAGTCCCCAGATCTATTCGTGGCCCGTGAAGCCCGCCATCATACTGCGGCCTAGTTGCCATACCATCAGCATAAGACTTCCGGCACATTCAACTTTAGTCACAATTTTCCACAGTCCGTCTCGATCAAAGACCCTAATGGCATGACGGGATTTGTAAAGACGGCCTAGAGGCTGGTTCTCACGTGCGGGTTTTCTTATGGTTAACACACCTTGAATATCAAGTTGATTGTTCCGTAGTATTTCCATAATCTACGCCGAGTATTTTGGACGAAGTCCTCGTTGAGGGTTTATAGTTAGGGGGTTGAGAAGAATGTGTTTAAGCGTTTTTTTGTCAATGCCGAGCAATGATACCGCAGATAGCGTTGCGGTTTCTTTTTCGCTTGAGAGCGTCAATATCCTCCCAGAATCTCGCCAATAAAGGAATACGTTAACAACGCCACTGTAAGCAGAACGCGTGCATATGGACGTTTTTCTGAT